ATTGTGTAGCAAAAGGGTTCATATTAACTTACCATTTAGTCTTAATACTTTTCAAAACAGGAATCCTGGAGAATTCTGTAACATTTTAACCTCCAAGGACAAGGACAAGATAGAGCTAAGTTAGATAGGATCTTGTGAGGAATTTACCTTCCAAGAACAGAGTAAACTTAAGGAGTCCAGTCAGCTAGAATGAGGAAGAATGTGGTCCATGCCATAAGAGAGACACCATATTGTGCTCTTGTTACGAGGACAGGCTCTGGAGTCAGGCTGCCTAGTTTGCACAATGGCTCCATCTCCTATTTGCCACATGAAGTTCTGCGAGTTAAATTACTTAACTCTACACCCATTACCCCATCTATAAAATGGGAATAGTAGTGTCCTCTCCCAGAGGGATTTGGATGACAATAATTAAGGGGTATTTGCTGTGAGGACTCACTTCAGTCCAGTTGTGTTTGAGTGTGGGCTTGTACTCTGTTCATTCCTGATGAGTTAGAGGCTTGCGTTGAAGTCAGTACCTAGTGTCTACTTCTGGACCCTTAAAAACTCCAGCCATCACTCTGCTTCTTTGTGCTTTAGATTACTTCCCCATTTAAATGAATATAGGAAGTTCTATGGAAGCGGGAATATTATCAGTCTTATTCACTATCTAGAACAGAGCTTGACACATAATGTTGGTTTAGCACAATTCAGGGATATTTATGAAAGTGATGAAGACTTATGTGATTTTGAGAAGGAACTATAAGTATACTACAAAAATTACTGGATTTCCTCGTTTAAGATTTCCAAGGAAGCCAGGTGTGGTGGTACAGACCTATAATCCCAGCACTCAGGAGGCTGAGGCAGGAGGATCACTGTGGGTCTGAGGCCAGCCTGAGCTATGTATTGATGTCCTGTTTCAACCCCTCTGAAAACAGATTTCCAAGGAAAACAAAAAATGTTCTCCTACATTTTCTGTCTGGATCTATGCTTGACATGTGGAGTCTGAAGATCTCTGAAGTCATGACTCAAACATTTAAGGCTTAGTAACTTCAAGTAATTTAACTTCTATAGGCTTCATTTCCTTCATCAGCATTGACTTGTCATTTGTGCTTAGAGTATTTTTTGAGTTAGTGTTACAAGGCCTTGGGTTTGACTCCAAGCACTACAGTGATAAAGTGGGGTGGATAGTGTGTTTGTGAGAGATCCAAAGATCAATGCAATGCAGGCACGGGAAACTGTCTATGCCATAAAATACAAATGCACTGAGAAATGGCCACTGTTTATATTCTACATTGGAGGACTATAAATCAGGAAAAGCAAAGCTCTTCCTTTTACGCACATCTAAGGCAGTGAAGATAAAGCTTGTACTGCCCCTCAGATAAGGTTGACCTCCTGAAGACATGGAGGAAACTGGAAGGTCTTCCTTGAACATAGCCAAGAAGAGCTGCATGAGAGGACTTCCCATCCCTACCCATACCAACTCCCTTTAGTTGTTGGACCTCATTTCATCTGAGCCCATCCTCAAAATAGTTTCAATCCAAAGGAAGACATGCTGACTAGAACCGCTTTGAGGAATTGGATTTCCCAGGTTAAAGACACCCCCCAAAAAAATCCCTCTTCTCCATTGCTGTTGTTACATAAATTTCAAGAATTTCATGTATCAGAAGCCAGTTCTTGATTGCATTTTTTCATTTTTAAAAGTTCAAAACTCAAATTTATTATCTATCATCTGTCTGTATTTAATGGACCTCTGCAGAAAAATCTTTTTCAAATTCCTCACTTTATATTCTAAGCAAATCTTCAACCTTTCCACATACTCTTTTTTTTGCTATTTTTCCGTCAAGTGTGTTCAGACTTCCTAAATGATTTGGTTGTATGATTAAGTTTGAATATAAATGTACAAACACCCAGAACATACTCTTTTGGAGTACTTTTCATAAGTTACTAAGCCCCTTACAGTGCGTAAATTGAATTACTCTTGGAATTTAACTTAGTAACTAACACTACTAAGAAGATTTTGTGTCTAAGGAAAATCTAAGAAGCTTGAGGTGGCTATTCCCAGCACTCATCAGTCTTTTATTTTTGGTTGTCACGTTTCCTTACATTTTTAAAACATTATTACAGCCTTATCGAGACATAATTCAGATACTATCCAAACCATTTATTTGAACTATACAATTCTGAGGATAGGCTCTAGTATATTAAAAAGGTTGTGCAACCATCTCAGCTATTTAATTCCAGAACATTTTACTCATACACAAAGGAGACCCCAAGCCCAATAAACAGTCAATCCCCTTTTTTTCCTCCCCCTAACTCCTGACAACCACTAATCTCCTTTCTATCTGAGTGGATTTGGCTATTCTGGACATTTCACATAAGTGGAACATGAAATAGGTGGCTTTGATACTGGTGTTAATTCACTAGCCATAATGTTTTCAGTTTATCCACATTGTGGTGTATTTCAGTGTTTCATTCCTTTCAATGTGCTACTGTTCTACTGTGTGGAATACCACAATTTGTGTATCCACTCCCCTCTTGATGGACACATGGGTTGTGTCTACCTTTTGTCTATGTGAATAATGCCACTGCAAACATTAGTGTACCAAGATTTGTTTCAGTTATTTGGGGTATATACTGAGGCATAGAAGTGCTAGGACATGTAGCATCTCTGTTTAACATTTTGAGAAACTGGCAAACTTTGCCAACTGCACTGTTTTATATTCCCACCACAGTTGATGAAGATTCCAGTTTTTCCAGGGTTTCTATTTTAATGTAGCTTTCCTCATGGTTATAAAGTGGCATCTCATTGTGGTTTGGATTTGCATTTGTGCCATCAGGCTACTTTCTATTAATGTTTTTTGAGATGTTATTTGTCTGACAACTTAGCCCTGTAGACATAGATCTACAAGTGACGTAATGTAAAATGGCCCTCAAAGCAGTGACAGCATTAATGAAACTTCTGTAGGAAAGCTTATACCTTACCCCTTAGGTCCCTCATGTAGTAATTAACTCTTATTGAACATTCATGACTGGTCATTAGGTTTGCCAGAAAGAAACTAGAAAATTCACAGTGACAGATACTGTGGCAGTAAGAGAAGTGACAGGAGTTACCACCAACAGCCACTGAAGGAGAACTATAATATTTGCCAAGATGTGAATGACTCCAAGTCTTTACCCAGAGGCTAGCATATCTTCAGTAAGTTTTAAGAAGGTAAAGCTACTTGTAATACAGTTTTGAAAGATTTTCATGAAGAATGACTCAGAGAATGTTTTCTTCTTAAGTAGATAAGCTTTGATTTTCCAGGTAATTAATTTCCCGGTGATACCTGAAAAATCAGCTAACAATGAATTTCCTCTTGAATATAGAAAAAACAACAGACTCTATAAAGTTATTGAAATACTGTTTAAAAATAAATATTTTGAAGAATTTCCATAGCACATTTTGATAGTATTAACGATTAGTTTATGTGGCTAATACTCAGAACTTACTTTGGCATTAGTGTTATTTTGGTATGTGTTCATGCCATCTGGCCTCTAAATTAACTTTCATGAATCTTTTCCATTCAGTTGCTAGACCCTGCTGCTGTTGATACTTGGTTAAACTGCAAACCTTAAAGCTGCACAATATTTAATATATTACCAAACAGTGCTTTCTGTCTCATTTGTGTTGAATTGTTCCTGTTTCTCTTCATAGAGACTAAGAAGCAGACCCAGATTAAAAAACAAAACAAAACAAAACAATAAAGACTATTTTCAAATAAGTTTTTTTATCTGAAGCACATTTTTATACTTCCATTTTTCACCCTACCTTATATGAAGTGAGTCTTCAGCTAGCCATGTGATAACTGTTTCATGAGATTATCAGTGATTACATTTTCAATACACAAGGTGTCTCTTCGAACAGCTTAAAGTTTCATAGCAATTCCTGATTCTAGATTTTTGAAATCAGATAATGAAACCGTTAATCAGATCCTAAGAAAGTTAGTGCAAGACAGGTCATTGGTAACAACTAAAAACTGGGCACACATGAATGGATTGTGAATTTGTAAGGGGCTGTCACGTTAAAGCTATGCCAGTGGTGGAAAACCTGTTTGTTACAATTGAAAGTTCTAAAAGGTTCGCCATCAATGATGTGCCATTTTCTGCACAGTGGACACAAAAAGGAATTCCTATGCAAAACAGAAAAAAAAACCAATCATTGCTAAAACTGGGTTGCTGCTCAGTTTTGTAGAACAAAAGTAAATCTGAGCAGTTGCTTCCTTTTCCTGTGCACAGTGTTACACTGAGAAATGCCCTCTTTATTATCAGTAGCAGACCATAGATACTGTGTTGCACTGTCAGTGTCTAAATGCTTCCTGTTTTAGATAGCATACCATTACTTTTCTTTCCAAATCTAAAGTTTGAAAAGGAAGCATTGTAGTATTTTAGCTAATTTTATTTATTTTTTCTTGCAGGTTCTGAAAAGTGCCTTTTCTGAAAGCTCTGCTGTTGGATTCTACTCTAGAACTATCTCTTTACCAACCCCTTTGTCCACCATTCCCTTCCTCACTCCCTGTCCCCTAAGAAACCTGGTGTGCTAGTAGTTCACTGTCAGCAACCTGTGCATTTATTTTTTTTCTGTGATTGTCAATTTTCATTTTGCCTTCCCTTGATTTTGCAGCAAAACTTTTTCCTTAGATTGAAACAGCCTCTTCAGTCTTGCTCTTTATTTAAAAAAAAAACTAAGAAATCAGGAGAAAATTTTTCTCTCCCTGACGTGAGGCCATTGCACAAATTGAGGGACAGCCTACAGCGTATGTTTTTTGAAAACATCAATTAGTACAGAATTTTTCTGAAAGTCCACCAGTTATCTGAGTAAATTTGGCAAATTAACAAAATAAAACATCTCAACCTTTACAGTTGCCTACTTAAGATTTGGTCTCTAGTTTGACTTTTAGTTATTGTGATACAACTTTGATTTTTGTGAGAGACTTTTTGTTTGATCAGATCAGAGTTGACTTAAGTGAAATTATAAGTGCTAACAAGTAGCCATTCCACTAAAGCAACCTGCCATCTCTTCTCATTGAGCTCAAATTCACTTTTAATTCTTAAACAATCAGTAGTGATATCATCCTAAAAAGTGTACGCTTGATTTACATTTTGCTTGCAATATGACGGCTGTCAATGTTGCCCTGATTCGTGATGCCAAGTGGCTGACTTTAGAGGTCTGCCGAGAATTTCAGAGAGGAACTTGCTCTCGAGGTGATGCAGATTGCAAGTTTGCCCATCCGCCAAGAGTTTGCCATGTGGAAAATGGTCGTGTGGTGGCCTGTTTTGATTCTCTAAAGGTGAGCGCCATCTGAATGCATGGAATTTCAATTTGTTGGTTTCTGCTTTTTAAAATATGATATGCTGTGAAATGACTAAAATTTATAACAGCCTGAAATTGGCAGGTTTCTTTTTTTAAGGAAGGATGTAGACTTTGTTTTTAGAACTACACCATTCTAATCCTCACTCCATCACAGCCTACTTATCAAGATAGATACACTTAAAGAATAAAAATTTACGAATGTTTGTAGGAGTGAGCGACTACAGCAGTCTTAGTATAGTTTACCTTTTGGCATAGGATTTAGATATTGAATTTAGTGATCAGAATCTTTTTATAACCTAGAGAATCCCTCCACTGAATTATGTTATATGTTATTATTCACAATACAAAAATACACTTAGCAAAGACCAACCTTTCAGAGATACACTTAGCAAAGACCAACCTTTCAGAGATACACTTAGCAAAGACCAAGCTTTGAGAAAATAAACAAAGTCAGACAGAGAGAACACCAGGAGAACATCTTACCATTCGGGAGGAAAATTATAGCATTTAGGACATTTTTAGTGTAAGTATGTTTTGAAACTTTAACTTAAATATATTGCTACAAAACTAGGCTCACTTAATTTTCTTTAGGACACCTCATTGAACAGATTAAGAATAGTCCTATTGCTAAGGTTGTAAAATTTGAATATTATGTACTAGAGTATAAACAAAATATGCAGACAGATGAAGTATTACGGAGAATTGGAAATATATGCTTGCAGTACAAGAAAATGCACTGGTTTTCATGTCTCAAAAATAGTTATCCTGCCGGGCGTGGTGGCGCATGCCTGTAATCCCAGCACTCGGGAGGCTGAGGCAGGAAGATCTCTGTGAGTCCGAGACCAGACTGGGCTACCCAGTGAGCTCCAGGTCAGTCTCAACTACATAGTGAGACCCTGTCTCAAAAAACAAGACAGAAAAAAATGTTATCCATAAATTAAAGTTAAAGATGTACAAATTAAAACATAGAAGCAAAAATAGTCATGATTCTTGATTTGATAAGACTTGCTATGATGGATTTAAGATTTTTTGCAGAATGTATCACAAAATGAGTTAAGCTTAAAAGAATTATTTTGATTTATTGATACTATTTTACCTCATAATTTTCCCTTGTTAATATTTTAATTTATGACTGCATTGGTTTGCGTGATGCCTAAGAAAAACATTTCGGCAAATACTAAACTACAGGTTGAGTATCCCTCTTCTGAAATGCTTAAGACCAGAAGTGTTTCGCCTATCAGAGCTTTTCAGATTTTGAAATATTTCCATATAAACAATGAGATGTCTTGGGGATGGGACCTCAGTTTTAATATGAAATTAGTTTGTTTCATGCATACTTTATACACAGTCTGAATGTAATTTTGTACAATAGGTTAATGTGTCCGCAATTTACTGGGACTTGTCACATAAGGTCAGGTGTGAAATTCTCTACTCGTGGGATCCTATCAATGTTCAAAATGTTTCGGATTTGGGAGAACTTTGGATTTTCAGATTAGGGATGTTTAACATATACTTAAGTAGCTGAGTTTCTTTATCCTATCCAAGAGAAGTTTATCATCTATACAATGCCATATACTTTAGGTTGGTTTTCATATTTAAAGATAAAGAAGTACCATAAACTAAACACTTTGAAGAAAAAAACCTGGAAGATGATTATTTATGAAATGCATACTGCACTTTAAAGCTTACAAAATATTTAATTCAGAGACAAAATCGATAATAGCTAATAAATATAAATAAACCACTTAATTATTTAAATAAGCTGCCTGCTCACTGTATCTCATATCTTTAAAAAATATTTTGTGCATTATGTTAATAATGATGACCAGTCTCACAGGATAAAGAAGATATGCATAATCCCCACATTCTCAAATTTTTAATGAAAACCGTAGTATTTCAAATACACAAAGCCTTTCAAACAATTACTTAATTTGCCATTTAGATAGCACATTATCAGAGTACCATGTCTGCACAAAAGCATTGTAGTTTTCTTTTGTATTATTTCTCATCTATGATATGCATGAAAGCTATACTAAGTTGACGGTAATTGACCTGTGAGGAGTGTACTCTTGTCATATCTACAATACACAAAGAACATACCTTAACGGTTGCTGCAGCATTTGCTACCTCTCTTGAATTTGTATAATTGAAACACCATTGAAATTCATCTGTGTACGATTTCTTCTACGAATGGTTAAATAACTAAAGCAATCATTTGATGAATTTGGGGCTGCAGCTTTTGTTTTTTGTTTTGTTTTATTTTTGTAAGGATTCCATTAGCATTAGCTACTCTACCAGATGATGGCTCTTTGCCTTTATAATAGGTATAATAGACACAGTGTCCTATACTCACCTCATAATGAGGAAATGTTAGGAAAATAAGAAGGATGAGCCAGATTGCTGATTGTGTATTGTACTGAAGTGCTGTGCCCATCTCTCTACGAATTTTGAGTATTTAGTAATGAAGGTTGCACCATCTTTAGATAGAAAACTGGAGAGTACAGCCGGTAGATTAATTTCCAACTACATAGAAGAGTCTTGCGTTGTGTTGTTATGCAGATGTTTTCAACTCAATTGCCTAGTCTGCTTGGCACAATTTATTTCGAAAGCACCCTCCAAAGTGCAAGATAATCTTGTTATGCCAATATCTTGATATTACAGTTTGCTATTTATCTAGGTTGGTGTGTCTAGTGAATGGCCCTTGGATTTAACAAAGGTTGCTCCCTTTTAAAACTAAATCAATCTTGGCAATTGTTCTCAGAGACAAGTAATTCTGCTTCGATAATATCACAATGTCTGGAGTCTTCTACTTCAGACTGGAAGTAATACGTGACAGCAGTCACATGTTATTCAGAAAGGATATAAATGCTGTCATGATTCAGTATGACAGTTACATACCCATCACGTCTGCCTATTGTACTTACCACTTTGGGAAGTTTTATAACAGACATTTTCTGGTGAAGGCCATATCCCAGACATAGTCAGAGGACAGTCATGTCAACCGATGTACATCTCTAAAAGACGGGAGCTGGAAGAAGACATATAAAACAACCCTCTAATATCACATATGTGTCCTCTAATATCACATATGATGACAAGGATAAGAATATTTTGGCAAGTGAAATCTGTTGCCTAGGCATTTGGATATGAATCTATCTTGTAGCTAAAATTGGCCCTAGATACCAATATACTCTCTGTTAGTATCACTAATCGCAGCAGTTTTCCCTAGTTTAAAATTTGACTATTTTTGACTAAATATTACTCTTCCTGTTTGCTAAAGGAGAGTTTGCCAGAAGTTAGACTCCTGGCAACATAATCCCATTGATTTTCAGGTTGCAGAAATTTAGTACCATTTATACGCTCCATCAGAGAAGCCTGGCTGTACTGCAGACCCAGAGGCAACATGTGTCATCCTGCGAGTCAGAATCTCTATCTTCTATGAAATTGACCTGGTAAAATTCTGTGATATTTTAGACGTTTCATAAACTACTTTTGAAAGAAAAATACAGTCACAATTAGAAGTCAAATAAACTATATTGATAGTTCAGCCTCACTATTTTCCCTTTTATTTTGAAGTAATTTTAGATTCCCAGAAGGGTTGCAAAAATAGTGCTGCTAGTTCTTGTACACTCTTCACCCAGATTCCCCTAATCTCAACAACTCACATACCATACATAGCACAGTTATCAGCAACAGGAAATCATACTCTACAAAGCTCTGTGTTACACTAGGGACGATATTTGAATTTCTCTAGTTATTTCTCCCTAATATCCTTTTTCCGTTATAGGATCCAATCCCCAACCCTACATTGCATTTACTCATTATATTTCAGTCTCCTCCACTCTGTGACAGTTCCTCAGTCTTTTCTTGTCTTTCATGACCATGACACAAGCAAGAGGCACCCTATAGAATGACATCTCATCTGATGTGTCATGGTCACAGACATTAGGGAGGAAAATTGGTGAAATTTAGGTAAGGTCTTTTAAAGTTCTTCATCCTGGTTTTAGGAAATGTGTTATGATTAGCAGTAAGGAAAGCTGGGTAAAGGATATCCTGAGACATGAGATATTATTTTTGCATTTTTATATAAGTTCAAAATTATTTCAAAATAAAAATATTTTTAACGCTGGGGGCTGAAGCCAGGGCCTCACACATGCTAAGCACATGCTCTACCATTGGGCTATACTACTGGTCTTTTAAAGCAAAGTACTATTTCAGTGAACTTTTAAGATCATATACCGCTTCAGAAATAAATATATGTATATAGTATTCTTTTTATTTTTTATTCTTTTTTTTAAAATAACTTTGGCTGTAGTAATAAGAAAACTTGGAAATCCATGCAATGGCTGATCCCAGAACTGCTCTGCAAAATCTTGGTAGTCAGACAATCCATATCCATTATAACAGTTCACCAATCTAGCAAATCAAGAATGTGCAATGTCTAAGGAAGACCATTTTGTTCACAGTGTTTTCCACTCACAGATGAGGACACTGAAGAGCCAGTGAGGGGAAATAATTTACCAAAAGTCACATATATGTGGTTATCAAAAGAGCCTGGTAGCTTCTTTTTCTCTATGGAGAAGGAAATAGAGAAAACATCAAAAAATCTATTCTTTCACTAAAACACAAGGATCTGGTGCCAACTCCTCCTTTCCTAATCCTCCCTTTTTCTATTGTTTCATCATCATTTATTTGGATTAAGGCTTTAAATTAAGGTTCTTATTTAGTTCGTTGATGATCATTTGGAAATTTTGTTTTAAAAAGGAGGAAAACCAGCAGGATGATTTTAAATTTTAGACAGTTACTTGCCTTTGTGATACCAAGCTTTGCCTAACACTAAGGATCAAACGGAGTTGTCTGTTCTCTTGTCCCTCCTCGAAACATTGGATTGCTGGGTTAGCTAGCCCGAATTGCAGTTATGATTACACAGTACCTCTAAAATCAGATTCTGTACAATGCTCTGGCCAGGTAGAAAGG